TCGGGTCTTCCTCAATCCAGGTCCAGCATTCTAACCAATGCAACCCCTAGTGACCAGAGATATCTCTTTTAGGAAAAGGGTTGGACCAATGATTTTATTGAGCAGCTAGGTGATGCAGTGGATAGAGTGTTAGGCCTGGAGTTNTCGGGTCTTCCTCAATCCAGGTCCAGCATTCTAACCAATGCAACCCCTAGTGACCAGAGATGTCTCTTTTAGGAAAAGGGTTGGACCAATGATTTTATTGAGCAGCTAGGTGATGGAGTGGATAGAGTGTTAGCCCTGGAGTCAGGAAGATGAGTTCAAATCTGGCCTCAGACATTTACTAGCTGTGTGATTCTGGGCAAGTCACTCAAACCTGTTTGCCTCAGTTTCCTTATATGTAAAATGATCTGGACAAGGAAATAGCAAAACCATTCTAGTATCTCTGCCAAGAAAACCCCAAATCAGGCCACGAAGAGTTGGACACAACTAATCAAGCTCTCCCCACCCCCGCCCCTGCAAGGTAATTCAGTTGATATATACTGTAAACTGTCATTTCAGTGCAGGTTGGCACCCTTAGTCTGCAGGAGCTGCCTAAGGCACTGAGAGGTGACTTGTCCAGGGTCACACAGCCAGGCTGTGCAGAGATCATTCTCATGTATCAGTTTCAGGCTGACTTTCTAACACCCAAGATTGTTTTGAAGGGTTTGCCTGAGGTCCCAGAGGCTTCATGGATGGTTGCTGAAGGCTGAGAATTAAGACTGGAAGGGGGAAAAAGGACCCGGGGGCCCACTGCCCTTGCCTGCCCAGCAGGGGCCCAGGTCAAGGGCTCTGAGGACGCCCAGCACTGGTGCAGGGGACCTTCATGCCCCAGACTCTGCAGCTGCCCTCTGGCATGGCCGGCATCACCTCTCAGCCAAGATGAAGCTTCCCTCTCGGAGTACGGGCACTTTCCTCAGGATGCTGATAGCTTCAAACTCTTTGCTGTGCTGCTCACCTGTGCCAGAGAGAAGGTTCCACTGAGCACTGGGCAGGGCTGAGGGAAGGCACAGAGCCCTTCCCCCCAGGGCCCTGGCTCCTCTCACCAAATGCCAGAAACTCCATCAGCAGGGACCTTCGGGACCATCTGTCCCACCCCCCAGGCTACGGATGAGGACCCTGAGGCCCAGAGAAAGCAGAGAGACTTGACCAAGGGCACACAGCAAGTTAGCAGCAGCCCTGGGATCAGAGCCCAGGCCTGCAGGCTTCTAGCTGCTGCCCCATACTGTCTTCCAATCCATGCTCCCACAGCAACTAGGTGGCAGCTATGCGGCCCAGTGGAGAGGGCTGGGCCTGGAGTCAGGAAGACCCGAGTTCAAATCCTGCCACAGACACTTACTAGCTCTGTGACCCAGGGCAAGCCATTTGACCTCTTTGCCTCAGTTTACTTATCTATAGAACAAGGATAATAATAATACATAATAATGGACGGACTAAACGAGATACCATTTGTACAGTTTTACGAATGTTAAAGCTTT